AACATTGTTCCAGTTGTTCAAATGCTAGCTGAAGTCATATCCTTGAGTGGCAAGTAAAGCCAATCTCTTCTCAGATCTCTACAGTGTTTCGGCATTTGACAAGATGTCGTGGTCAGTTGGGAACTGGAAATGTTGTTTTCCCTTTCTGGATTTAGTGTGTCCTCTAATTATTGTGGCCTATCTTTCCCAGCACACTTACTCTGCCTTGACTATTAAGTTTTATTTAACTTTTTAAACAAGTGGTTTGCAGGAAACAGACTGAACCAGCTAGAAAACACTCTGCTTGAGGGCAAAAGCCTATTCTAGAACCTTGCTGTCTCTGTCCCATTAGTGGGAATACTTTCAAAAAGTAAAAAGAACAGCTAAATGGTGTTGGCCAGTTTTCACTATTAACATTCAGCTTAACTATTTACCCCTTGTACATCCCATTACTTTCTTCAAAATAAATTAGAATCTCCCATCTAATGTCTACATACATAGTCTCCTTTCATAACTAACATAAATGCTTCATAGATAAGGTCATTGTTTTAGATTATAGGTAGTCCCCAATTTAAGAACAAATTCTGTTCCCAACGTCTGTCTTTAAGTCGAATTTGTATGTAAGCCAGAACAGTATTATTATATAATACTGTAGAAGTAATATTGTATAGTTAACTTGAACCATTTTGTATTTAACTTTAATCACTGTGTATTTAACTTGAATTTTGCTACAATAGGCTCTGTTCTTAACTATGGGTCATCCTTAAACCAGACATTCTTAACCCAGGGACTACCTGTTATAACTTTCAGTTTTTGGAATTGTTGTAAATTACTGCCCTTTAGACAAAAGCAACTTATTCAAATGTCTTGATGTCTCAGGACACTGCAGTTAAAATGGGTTTGCTGTGTACTTCACATATTGCCAATATTTCGTTTTGACATGTACAGTATTGCAAATCGTATTTCATGTATAATTTATCTTACATCAGCCATAAGTCCCATGAACAGTTTTATTACAGACAGCTGTTGCACAACCATCATTGGCAATTCAGCTGTTATCAGTTTATGCTGTTATTGCAGACTTTTGTCCAAGATTTATCCTATTGTTCTCACCTGGGAGATAGTTGTACATAAAATAGCTAAAAGCAATGTCATGATCCTTTGATCGATCTTCTCCTAGCTCATATGGAGTCTTGTTTCTTTATGAACTTTTTAGTCCTATCAGATATGAGTAATGAGATAAGCTAAGGTTTATATAAATAAAGCTTCCACATGGAAATGTGCACGTCCAGAACATAAAATAATGTTCTTTTCCCACTGCAGCAAAATGAATAAAATCAAAAGTTATTCTGTGCTTTTCATCTGAGATCTAGATGTTTCTAACAGCTCAAAATTATGGAACAAGGCTATCTTTAACTCTAACCTAATGCAATCATTTAAGGCTTTAGAGAACCATGAAGTTCTAGAATAATCTCATGAAGTCTAATACCTCAGATATAGCTTTGAACTAGTCAACCAATACATTTGCTAAGAACCCTGCCTCTAATCCAGTGTTTCTCAATCTCAGCAACTTTAAGTTGCATGGACTTCAACACCCAGAATTCCCCAACCAGCATGGCTGGCTGGGGAATTCTGGGAGTTGAAGTTCACACAACTTAAAGTTGTTGAGGTTGAGAAACATTGCTCTAACCCATATGACTGTGCTAGGCGACAGCACGACTGTTACTAGACATTCTGTGCAGTCATCTAGGTTGCATGCGATAGCTTACAGAGAATATAAAAGAGAATCTCCTGAAGCTTTAGTTTAGCCATGTCTGATTTTCCTTCAGCTTAGTCATATCAGATCAGGGATCAGATAAGAACTTTGCTTCAAGCCTGGGAAGTTTTGTTGAGCTGTGCCATATGGGCAAGCGCAGAGAAGTATTTGCTGCTGGGAATATAACAACAGTGCATGTAACTATTGCATCTTCTTGGACTTGGGGAAAATATAAGTGAAATTTACAGCAAACACTGCTGGGTTAATTGATTTCCAATATATCAGGACTGAATTGCTGGTGTTGATTCTTATCCTTAAAAGCCTTTATAATCTAGGTGCAGGATTTTTGAAAGAGGCAATTTTTTCTTCCAAAAATAAAGATTCATTATTCATATGCATCTTTAATATTCTGTATCATGTTAACTGGTTTGATTTCATTCATGAATTGGTTTAATTTATATTTTCACTGTATATCTTTAGACTCTTCTGCACAGTGGTGTTTAATGCTGTTCTCCTTTGCAAGAGCTAGCAGGAAAGTACCCTAGCATAAAAATCTGCTGCCCACATTTTCATCCCCATTCTGCTTTGTGTCAGAAGAGAGGGTCTGTCTGCAAAGGAAGTGGGGTGAGGAGAGAGGTAGAAAATGTCTCTTTTGGTGCCAGATCTTCTTCTATCAATTCACCAAACCCAGAGAATGATTCTAGGAATAGACAACTGGCACTAAAGGAGCCCTTATCCCCTTCTTCTCTCTCCTCATTTTTCTTGCCACCCAAGCAAGAAGCAGAAGACAGAGAAACACTCCCCCGTCCCCCCCCCCACTTTTCTTGGCAGGCAAAGTAAAGAGAGAAGCAGGGGAATATGGTTCCTTTGGGGCCAATTCCCTGATCCTATGGAAGGCAGAAGATGTGCTTCTGTGACAACTAATCCATAAGTAGGGGTATACTTTTGACACATGTCCACCTGTCTTCCAGAAGACTGTTGGATACATATGAAAAAGTATACCTGCCCAGCCCTCCAAATCAGACACTTCTGTGCCTTCTCGGCCAGGGCTGGGTGGACAGGCTAACCCTTAGCTGTAGCTGTGACTAAGCAGTCACTTCTCCTTACATACATGCACACACACAGCCTTTATCATTCCTCCAAGCCCTGCAGTCTGGGGATCTACTGCTAGGTATGGTGACGTTGGCAGGAGAAGTGGGAATGTTGATTATCTGGCATAGTGGGAGAACTCCAATTCTTCTGCTGCCAGAAGGTGAATGGTCCTGAAAAGCATTGGCCAGAGGACATGTCTGGAGCAACCTCAGGTGCCCAAGAGGAGCAAGGTACATCCCTAAACTGACCTTCAAGGATTGTGTTAACTGAAGGTGGAAAGCACCATATTAAAACTATAAAAGGAAAAGATGAATGTAGTCTGACTTCACAGTGGGTCAGGGGTGAGTGAAAGATGATGTTACCTGTTCTTGTCTTCCTGAAAGGTTTAACAAGGTATCTTCCAGCTGTGGTTAGAGACTCCTAAGGAAGCATCTTTTCTTGAGACATATTTCCTTGGAAGCCTGATTATAAAATTATTTTACTAGAGTAGATCAATAATCTTCTGTTCTTTTATGCTAGTCTATGACCATAATAAAGATTTGATTTGATCTTCTGTTCTTCTGCCATTTGACACAGAACTGCACCGAAAACACAATACACGGGATGCTCTGTACATGAAAATAACAATGGACAAGCTGCTTTTGAAAACCCCATGTATGACACCAATGCAAAGTCTGTCGAAGGAAAGGCTGTGCGATTTGATCCCAACCTGAACACAGTTTGCACAATGGTATAACATTGCGATGACCTGGCTGCAGCAGTTTGAAGATTGAAACGCAACATAGTGGACATATCGTTCACTAGTTTTTAAAAGAAAAAAGAAAAGAAAAGCACATTTTTCAGGATTTCCTGGATCACCTTCTCCTGAGGATGAGACAGAGACTAGAGTGGGTTTCTTTTTTTTTCATAAATATATATTGACTTCATGGTTACTGTGGAGTATTTTACAGAACATCTGCTGCACTCCATGAGTGCTTATTCACAGTTTATTTGCTTTTTAAAAAAAGAAGATTATTCTAAAAAATAATAATAAAAGAAAATAATAACATATTTGCATATATTGGAGGAGCATCCACGTCAGTACTTCTGTGCTTTATAAACTGTGCTAGAGGGACTGGATTTAAAAGAACAAATTATATGTGATAGAAATTAAGAGTTATATTTACAGGAGACAGCAAGGGCCTGTGGCTTCTCTTTAACAGTGACAGGCAAAACCATTCCATCATATCTGGTCTTTAAGAACATTTTCTTCTCCCCACTCTCACATCACCATCTATGAATTTCTAAGATTATGCCATGACCATTAATGTACTTAAGCTTGCAAGCGCAACCCATTATTTCTGAGCCACAATGGGATAATTAAGTGTCTGGTCTCAGGTTCTTTTAATTCATGAGTTTCATTCCCTGCTCTGTTGTTCTCATCATACAAACATCTCCTGCTATCTTTTCTTCTTCTCCACCTTATCTGTCCCAATAACTACCAATTTGACAGCGATAGAATGAGGTTTGAGAAATGCTGTACTGCAACTGTCTTGGTTGCTGAGATCTATTGTAAAAGTACATTCTTAATATTGTCCCTCCTTTCCCCAGTAATTCAATTTCCCCAAGTGAACAAATGTCAGTAGTGTCACACATCTAGACAATGAAGGTTACTAAATGGTACATTTCCCATCTCACTTTATCACTAATTTCATCAATGTTCTCGATTCCCTTTCTACACTGCATTATATGCTGGAGACAGACATGGTAATCACAGACCAGTAAATCTGCAGTCACAAAAATGGAGATTTATCCCATTAATGCCTTTGATGCATTTCTCAAATTCTTCCTATTCTCCAGGTCTTCCCTGTTCTAAGGCGGGGAACAGCATGATAGACACTGTGGAATATGCTTGTGAATCTTTCTTCCCACAGAAGTCAGTGTGAAAGCCTACAGGTCTCCATGCAGCACACTGTAGTGTACATACATTTCTGGATTAGGTCTTTAATCTGTTTAAACTCTCTCCCCTAGAATTATTTGGCAGTATGTGATTTCAGGAGTGCATTTAGCATAATTAAAAGGAATTAATCTTACATCTGCAATCCAGGCCTCGGGCAAAAATCATAATCGACTTTTATCACTTTGTATTATAAGGAACCTGTCATGAGTTTGCCTAATTCTTAAATATAGCATATGATTTGCACACAAATGTGTACTTTATTTGTCAATTTTAAAATGCACGTTTTGCACGGAAGAAGTTAATTTTGCCATTACAATGTTTGTCTCATTATAATATGCTGTGCCAAGAAATAATGGTTTTCAGTGAGTGCACTGAATGCTTTGCCAAAGCAATGCCAGCCATTACTATAGGTACAAAGGGTGATGCCAGCACAAATATTTTAAATGAAGGTTATGTAATCCAATTCACAACCCCATTAAGCCAAAGTACAATGAATTAAAACTGAATTGGTCTTGTAGATTTCAGTCTGTTTAATTCCAATCAGGAGGTATTTTCCCACTGAATTAAGGCTCAGCAAATCCTGCTTCATATTAATTTGGGAAGTTTGTTTTCAAATGTACTTTAGGATTTATGTTGTGAAGTTAAACCTTAAATTAGTTTGTTCTATGGCAGCCATACAGTATAAATAAGGGTACAGAAACGAAAATACTAATTTCTGCAAATCATACTTTCTTCTGTCAGGTTTGAGATTTTGCAGGTCTGTTTCACTCTCATATAAAATAATGCACTTTTGGTTTTGATTGGAGTTTCATAGTTGAATTATCAAAATATGGTTTGAGTAACGTCCAGATCATTGTTCGTTGTCTTCCTTTTATAGCATGAAATGATTCTGAACTCATCAATGCTGTACATTAGCTGGTGTGAATTATCTGGGACTATTCTTTTCCCAGACATGAACATCTCTACGGGAATAAAAATAATTTTTATTAATATAATAAGAGAGTGCCTATTGCCCCCAAAGGAACCCAACTTCCCCACTTCCATCTTCAAATCTGTATTGAACCCAGGACTGCTGCTTGGATTTCTATAGTGTTTGATGAATTTCTTACGAGCCATTTTACAATGTTTTCTTTTGGAAATCATACTCTTCTGTCCAGAAACTGTCTTCTACTTTAAAAAAAAATTGCCATTTTTATATTTTATACCATCAATTTGTTATTTATTCTGGTTTATTCAAATGATTGCAATAATGATGATTCATTCATTACTGTTAAGGTTAATATTTGAGACCTTGTTTAAAATCTTGTTTCTTCTGCAACTGGCTACTCCTCTTATATTAATGCATACACTTTTGTAAAGAAGTCTATTTTTATGAAAAAAAAGGGGATTTGTAAAAGTATGATGTAAATTTTCAGTGCAATGTAAACAAATAAAAATGGATAATTGCCTTTGTAATATGGAGTGTGTTTTATAAAACATTTAGAACCATAACAGCTGTGGAAGTTGGAGTAGAGTCAACTTCCTCAGCCAAATACTACAACTTTGTGGGGAATATGGCATTCCCCTGCTATTTTCTTTTTGTGTTTGGGTTGTTTGCTAAATAAAAAAATTCTGTAAAGATTTTAAATTACTTCTGAAAATAGAAAATATTCCAGTTAGCAAACATTGGTTATAGATTATACTATTAAGTACAAAGAAGCAATGTAATAAAATGAGAGTACATTTTAATTCAGTACAAATTATTTGCAGATTTCTAAATAATGCTGTCAATGTTGAGCTACATTATGTCCCTCTCCCGACTCTAAGTAAAGATCCATTATTGCATTGATTTAGATCAATAAACTGTTCCTCAAGCTTAGCAAAATGCATAGACTAAAGCTTTATTCAGGTACTCTAAAATTAGATCTATACTTCATGCAATAATGCTCCTTCATGATATCATTCAAATGAAGTTAACCACTACAGGATGTCTAAGATTTCATGTTTAAGCTATGGAAGACAATTACTGGATATTTTCACACATGGAAGCATAGGAAACCTTTATGCAGGTTTTCTACTTTCCTCTGAACTGGATATTCTAGATGTTTAACCAGAAGTTGTGACACTCCTTATCCTGTTGAAATTACAGTTCCTAGCAACCCAGCCAGCATAGCCAATGGTGGGAAAAACTGGAATTGGAAGTTGCAGTTAGTGAATCTCTAAAAGTTTCAGTTTATCAAAATGATCAAGATAGAAAAAAAAATCCTTGTTATTTGGATAAATGATTATTTATACTGCCTAGTTTCTCTGATTATTTAAAATGGAAAATGATAATTCATATCTAATATATATGCTTATGAAAGTAATACAATAGGAACTGTTGAATGTACTTGATCTCTTACAACATGTTTGGTAAGGAATGGCTTTGTATTCCTAATTGCTGCTGATATAATATCATCATGGTCTGGCTTTGGCCAGCTTGACTTCTATATTTTGGGTAATGGAGGAACAGAATATTTTATCTCTCATTGCCTAACTGCTTGCTGTCATGCTTAGAACTCTGTGTATTTGCCTATATCACTCCCAAACTCATTGACTGCTATCCCTTTAAATGCCATTCAACATATATTCTTAAGCTAATGTGGTGGTGGCTACCAGCTTGGCTGACTTCAAAAAAAAAAAAGGGTTGGATCAATCCATGGAAGTCATGGGACTCAATGGCTACTAGCCTTGAGGGCAGCGGGACTGCCTTTGAAGGGCATCTGCTGGGAGACTTATGGGTTAACTTGTAGACTTAGTTGGCTGCTATGAGAACAGACTGCCAGACTAGGTGGGCCAGGGGTCCAATCCGGAAGGCACTGCTTATGTTCTTATCTGTTTGTTTATATTTGAATTCAGTTGTATGCCAGCTACTTGCAAGATTTTAGGTGGTTTAGAATTATTAACATAGGGTAGACACTGCTGGTTGTTCAAATTCTCCCTCCCTATCTAGTTTTTCAGCACATTTCTGAAGTCTGGTTCAGAGTTTTAAGGGACCACCTGAAAGAGATTTGGAAAGGGGCATGTCAACAGCCCTTTGAAGTAGGCATGGTCAAGAAACAGCAGGACTTCTCAGAATGCTTTTTATTGTTGTAGGGTAGAATAACAATCTTAAAAGCTTATCAGAGTTTCTCTCTGTCCCATATTACACTAAACAAAATTAAGGCAAGGTTATTTTGAATTTCTTTCTCACTCCAATTTCTTGGGACTGAGTAATGTTTTGTCTGAAACTGCCCACCACTTAATATTTCCCTCATTCACATTTTTTTTCACATATGTAGGTTCAATCCAGACATGTAGTGGGAGGTTTATATATTTATGTTTTCCATGAATGTTTTATGAGCAAAGAGATTCAAAGTACAGAAAATGATTCTCACACAATCTTTGCGGTTGTCACAATCCATAGTAACCCATCATCCAAGTGTTGTATCAGTAGATTGACAGTCATTAGATCTAGCAATATATTACTGACAGTGAAATACTTCTTTGCAAGTTCATTTAAGTCACATAGAAGCTTTAAATACATAACATTAAAGCATTTATAAAGTGCTAATATAATGTTGGAGAAGGAAAAGTACCCCAGTTGAATGAAGGAAACTCGCATTGCTGGCAGAAAGGTCCCAAATTCAATTACTTCCTACCTGACTGCATGTTTTTAAGATAGAGCTGATGTAAGCAATGAACATGAAACTGAGCAAACTCTGGGAGGCAGTGAAGGACAGGAAGGCCTGGCATGATATGGTTCATGGGGTCACAAAGAGTCAGACACGACTTAATGA